AGCTTGCTAGTTCCTCAACATGTTAAACTAGAGCTATTGCAATACACAGCAATTTCATACCTAAGAGAAATGATGACATATGAACACACAAGAACTTGTTCACAAATGTTCACAGCTGTATTGTATACAATGGCTAAAACGTGGCAACCACTCAAATGTCCATCAGCTGAAAACATCATATACCTATATGTTTCGGTTTGGATCTGAAGGGCCCCCAAAGTTCCACATATTAATGATTTGGTTCTCGACAGTGCTATTAGAATGCAGTACATACCTTTAAGGGGTGTAAGCTGGTAAGGAGTTACAGGTCACTGGGGCCGTGCTGTCAGAGGGGATTGTGGTACACAGGTCTCTTGTTCTTTCTGTCTTCGTTTCCTAGCTGTTATGAAGTGAGTGGCTTCCTCTATCACATACTCCTGCCATGAGGCACTGCCTCACCACAGGCCCAAAAGCACTGAGGTGAACCAACCATGGTCCGAAACCTCCAGAACGGTGAGCCAGAATAAGTTTTTCCTCTTTTTCAATTGATTATCTCAGGTACTTTGTTACAGTGACACAAACCTAACACACTATATGATGGAATGTTATTCATCAATAAAATGAAATTCAGGTACATACTACAACATGAACAAACCTAGAAAAGTTTAGGCCTCCTGAAAGAAGCCAGTCACAAAAGGTAACATATTGCATAATTCTGTGCATATGAAATGTCCAGAAAAGGCAAATTCATAGATATAGGAAGCAGATTAGGGGAGGCCAGCAGAGGTGGTATGTGTCTATATCCCCACTACTCAAGAGGGTGAGGTGGGAGGGTCACTTGAGTGAGGCCTGGAGTTCAAGACCAGCCTGGGCAACGTAGTGAGACCGCATCTCAAATAGTTAAAAAGGAAGATTAGTAGGATTGTCAGGTGTGGGGGAATGGGAAAAATCAGAGTAACTGCACAAAGATATAAGGATTTCTTTTTGGGATGATTAATAGTGTTCTGAAATCAGACAGTGGTGATGGTTGCATAACTGTGAATGTACTGAAATGCTGAATTTTGCACTTCAAAAAGATTGAATTTTATGGAATGTGAATTATATATAACCCACTAAAATTATTAAAAATCCAGGCCACTTCCCTCTCATCCTTCCTCCCCTCCCTCCTTCCCTGCCATTCTTGCAAAAGAATAAGAAATTTTAGCCAGGCAAAGGTAGGGATAGAAAGGACCAGGGCCCAGAGAGTGCATCAAAGGGAGGAAAAAGAGCATGGATTGGGAGATCTGGCTCCTGGGGCTGCTAAAAGGGGATGAGCTCAGGGGCTAATAGGATAGGCCACGGCAAATCGGCACATCGCCAGCAGGACACACACTGCAGGAAGGGCTGAAGCACAGGGGTGGCTCAAGGTCAAGATTACAGGGGCCCAGGAGTGAGAGAGGGAGGCTTAAGGAGCCAGCTTGTGCAGCCAGGACTGGGATGCTGAGCTCGGCTGCTGGGCACAGAATGAAGATTTGGCCTCGCTTTCAACCGAGTGTGGAGGGCCTGCCCCTCTCCTCTGGGCAGCCCCCTCTCCCACTCCCTCACCCAGCCGTTTGCAGGGTTCCTTGGAGATGCTGCACCAGGACCACCTTGGGGTCACAGATGACTTGACCAGGAACTGAGTGTCAGAGCAGATCAGTCAGGAAGGGAGGGGACTGGAGAAAGAGGATGACTTTCCCTAGGATCTGTGTGCCCCTTTTTGCCTCCCCTGCCATGTCCCCACTTGGTAGCACCCTTCTGATCCCCTTATCTCTAAGTGGCTCAGGGAAATAGCCTGCTGCAGGAGCCTTCTCGGAAGTGCTGTTCTGACAGCCGAAAGCCATGAGCCCCGCAACTCCGGTAAGGAAGAGTTCTCCCTTCAGGATGGAGAAAGGGCCCTAGGGGGTGGGGGGGACCCTGCCAAAGTAGGGGGTGGGACCAGGAACATTTTAGGCCCTGGTAGCCCCTGTTCTTTGAATGATAGCTGGTGTCTGCTCCCATGCAAGTGGGAGTTTGGGGTTCAGCTACTCAAAGAAAGATCCTGGAGAACAGACCCAGGTGACAGATACAGAAACACTCTTCCTTGGAAGCCCAGTAGAACCACCTCCAATACTCCTCCCACCCCGCAATAGGGTCTGAATCCAGGGCTGAGCTCCATTTCCAACCTTTAAAAAAAAAAAAGGGAGGGAGTGTTTTTGTCTTTTGAGACAGGGTCTTGAACTCAAAGTGATCCTCTTGCCTCAGCCTCTCAAATGCTACTAGGGTCTGAATCCAGGGCTGAGCTCCATTTCCAACCTTTTAAAAAAAAAAAAAAGGGAGGGATTGATTTTGTCTTTTGAGACAGGGTCTTGAACTCAAAGTGATCCTCTTGCCTCAGCCTCTCAAATGCTGAGATTTTAATTTTTAACATTTTTATAAAAAATTCTAAGTTAGGGGCTGGGGATTTGGCTCAGTGGTTTCGCTGCCTTCCTCACAAGTGCAAGAGCCTAAATTCAATCCCAGGTGCACGCGCATGCACACACACACACACACACACACACACACACAAATTCAAAATTAGTGTCTCGCTAAATTACTAAGTTGTCCAGACTGGCCTTGAACTTGTGGTCTTCAGGTTGTATTAGCATGCACACACACACACACACACACACACACACAAATTCAAAATTAGTGTCTCGCTAAATTACTAAGTTGTCCAGACTGGCCTTGAACTTGTGGTCTTCAGGTTGTATTCTTCAAAATGCTGCAGCTTTTTTCACCTGCCAGTCCTTGTGCGCTCTCCCCAACCCCTCATTCTGTTTCTAAACATACCGGAGACCCTTCAACTTTGTGACTAGCGCTCACATAAAGCCCATATGGAGCTGGGTTTAGGCTTGGAGACTGCTACTGGCCCTAGAGCCCCGCGCCAGTGTACCTGGAAACTACAAAAACCATCCCACTGCAGCTTGCTCTGCGGACCCCTTCCCCCACTGAGAACCGAACCCAGGATCATCGCTCTGAACATCTCCAGCCCCTGTATTTTCCATTTTGAGACAGGATCTCACTAAGGCTCTCAGTTTTGCCCAGTTTGGCCTCAAACTTGTGGCCCTTCCACCTCGGCCTGCCGGAGTGGCGGATCACAGTCATGCACCACCACACTCTGCTTCTGAGAAACGTCTTAATGGCCTTGACCTTGGGCACACATAAGGTACAGTTTGTGTGCAACGCTACCTCCCTTTTGGGCACGGCCATTGTTTCTTCTTTTTCGTTTTATAACTATTTAGTTTTCTTGGGAGCGAGGACCCAAGCCACAAATTCCTAAGAAAAGTATTTTATGATAGAGGCTGCATGTGTAGCTCAGTGGTAGAATCATTGCCTAGTGTGTGCGAGGCCCTGGGTTCAATCCCCAGCTCCCCAACAAAACAAAAATATCTTATCATAAATGAGCGAACAAATGTCAGAAGAGAAATAAACTAGGCTTGGTGGGGCAAACCTGTACAGCCAGCTTCCCAGGTGGAGGACGTGGAAAGATCTCTTGAAGCTCCTGGGCAATGTAACGAGACCACGATCTGGAGGCAGGGGCAGGGGTAGAAAAAGAGAAAATGAAGAAGAAAACTGCAGGTGTGGCTTCTCAAGACTTTGGGTTAGCACAGAGCTATCACCCTGGAGAGCTACTCCGTCCGAGCTCAGGGCTGAGGACTACAATGCCCATTATGCCTCGGTCTTCCTAGCTCCTCCTTGTACCACACCCCCTCCCGGGGTTGGGGCAGGTTGGGAGGGAGGGGCCCTGGGGCAGCTAGGCCCAGGGCGCATCCTGGGGAATGAAATGCCCTAGGCTCTCTGGGTTCTAGAAGCGCAGGCGCAAAGGGTTGGGTGGCAGCTGCATCGGGTAGCAGGGCGCAGGGCGTTTTGGCAGCACCGTCCGCAACAGGTGTAGACAGGTGGGTGCGTCACGGGGCGGTGGGGGTCTGGAGAGGAGGTTTGCACCTGGCCCTTCCGTCTGATCTGTGGCAGAGCTTGGAGAGGAGGGGAGAGCGGCAGGAGAAACAGAGAGGAGGCCAGGTCTTCCACACAGGTGTGCCGGCTCTTGTTACGCAGCAACGGGCCGTGAGCAGATGGGGGAGGGGAAGAGGTTACCTGCTCAAAAATAAGTCGCCCTCCGGAAGAGAGGCCACCTGGATTCCAGTCCAAGCTCCATCGTATACATGGAGGAGTCATTTGCTGTTTCTCAATTTGTCCATCTGTAAAATAGGTGCAAAGATCCCCACTTACCAGGGTTACAGTGGGGACAGAGTGAGTTAGTAGTTTGTGCAGTGACTCCCAAACTACTGCACACCGGAATCACCTGAGGCTCTTTACGACTAGCAGGGCTTACCTCCCACCCCCACAAATTATTAACATATGTTCTCATCGCTCCTACTACTATAGTGGTGAAAAGCCAGGACTGCTGGGCGTGGATCCGGGCTCCAGAGCTTGCTAACCAAGTGGGTCTGAGGAAGAGACTGGACCTCTCCAGGCCCTAGCTTCATCATCTCTAAAACTGGAATAATAGCAAAGATTGTTAGGAGATTTAAATAAGCTAACAAGTGAAAGCAAAAGAGTTGAACACATAGTGTTCGATCAGTTATAATTGCTCGTTTTATGCTATTTTGCTATTTTATGCTATTATTTTATGCACTTTGTAAATGGCTCCTCTGGGGTCCAAATGTAAAGGAGGCTTTTCTTAGTCATAGCGGTTCTTCATTCATCGCCACCATTTCAAAATCCCATTTTCTAACATCGTATGAGTTTTAAGAGTTCCTCACCCCAGCCTCTGCCTGCTTCACAGACACCCTTCTACCTGCCTCATGACATTCTCAGTTTCACAGAATCTGAGGCCATTTGAGAGGTGCAAGGAGAAGGGAGCCCACCACGGTTCTGGGGCTGAGCCTGGAATCCAGGCTTCTGACCCCAACCCCCATCGCATCCCGGAGGGTGGCTGCCCTGCTGACCCTGCAGGACAGAGCTCCCATTCACTCGGGAGCCGGGGATAGGGAGGAGATGGAGGCTGCCTGGCCCTTGTTGTTTACTAACACGGCCTTAAGCATTTCCTGGGTGCCTCCCTGGGGAGGATGGGCTGGGGGCTTCTCTCCCTGGAGCTGCTTTGGAGCTGCCTTGGAGCTGCCAGTGAGACCTGTGTCCCGGCTCTGCTGACAGGTCCTGCCTGATTCCACCCTGGAAAGTCCTATTGAAGAAATGGCCCTGGTGAGGGGCGGCTGGCTGTGGAGACAGAGTGAGTGACCTGGGTCCTGCTTTTGTCTGTCCTGTACCTTATCCCAGGGCAGGGGTGTGGGGATGGTGTGTTGGGCCTGCAACAGTGAATGCTCTTCAAAAACCTTCCAGCTTCTCGTTCTTCATCTTTCCCCTCTGCCTTATGTCCTTCCCATTCCTGAGTGCTTGGCAAGCCTCTGCTTAACTCTTAAAGACATATTCTAGTGTCCCCTTCTTTGATGAGACTTCTCCAGCTTTTCCTCTAACCTCCATCCTGCCCCTGTAGCACCAAGCTGGATCCCTGTTCAATTCCCACAGTGACCTGTAATTTAACTGTCATTGCCTGTGAGTCTTCTCACTCCCTTACTTGGTACTGGCCCTATGCTGTGAGCTTCCAGGGCAGTCTGGGTTCAACTTTGGACGTGTCCATAACATCCCAATCCAGGGCTAGACACAGAAAAGGGCCCTGGAACAAAATGAAAAATCCTCCTGCTTGGGAATCCACAAAGCTCTAAAAAGCCCTTTTAAGCCTTTCCCCCTTTCCTGTTAGGATTCCAATTGCAAAATGTCTGAAGCTGTACTGGCCTGAGACTTCCCGAGTCAAAATCTGAACAAGAGCTGTTGGGACCTCTGGGACCAGGCGCTCCCATGCCCCATGCCCCATGCCTTCTGTCTATTTATTAAGTTCAGCAAACCTGAACACAGGTCCTGCTGGGTTTTAGGACCTGTGTGGGGAGTTGTAGAACCCCAACCTGGTGGAAGTGGCAGAATGAGAGAAATAACTGGAGACAGAAGATGAGATGGAGGCTCTGAGTAGAAAGAGATCTTTGCCCTTTGAAGAGACCTGGGACTTGGCCTTAGGATGCCCAAGTAATGAGTCTGATCATTCATTCACTGTTTAACCCCTTCATTGAGTCTCTACCATGTGTCAGGCTAGTGGGAGGCAGGGAGTAAGACAGAAAGAAGCTCTGCCCTCATTCTAGGCAGTAAATAGACAAAGAAGTCATAATACTGAGGGCCAGGGCTGCGGAGTCTGGGAGCTCAGGCCCTGGGATCAGCCTGCTCTGTGGATCTGGTCTGTCACGCAGGCTCCATCCTCCGCCGCTGGAAGCGGAACTGGTTCGCCCTGTGGCTGGATGGAACTCTGGGCTACTACCACGATGAGACTGCACAGGACGAGGAAGACCGCGTGCTCATCCACTTCAATGTCCGGGACATAAAGGTCGGCCAAGAGTGTCACGGTGAGCAGAAGGCCTTCTTCTGTGGCACTGGGGCCATGGGCAGGGTTCTCCTACTGTGTCTGCGAATACCTGCAAATGGAAGGCTCTTGCAGCTTTTCAGGAGCTTCTCAGACACTGCTTCTGGGCCTTTGTGGACTCCAGATGAGTTAGGTCTGAGTTAAGAAACCCATCCTTTGTTGAATTTCAACCCTGTACTGTGTTGTGGAGGTAAGTCAGATGAACTGGCACCAGGAACTGGAAGAATGGGAAATAAAGAGGCTAAAAGAAGTGACTGTCCCAGAGTCAGTCACACAACACATTTCCAAATTCTTCCACCAAGGCCCAGCCCACAGTTATATAGGGTAACAGAAAGATGTACTTAAGAAGCCAGGAATGTAAAAAAGTCGAGCGCTTATAAAGAATAGAGCAGGGGCCGAGGATTTAGCTCAGTGGTTTGGTGGCCTGCCTTGCAAGCGCAAGGACCTGAGTTCAATCCCTGGTA